TGGGCTGCCCGCATCGCGCGGCCCAGGAAAGCAGGCAGGGAAGGGGTGACCGACCCGCCTGCCGCTCTTCTCGGCTGAGCCCACCCGAGAGCCGGGCAGGGCCGGGCAGCAAGCAGGGGGCAGGGCCGGATCTGGGGTGCCGGGGCGGGGGAGGTGGGTCCAGTCCAGGCTGGGGGGAGGAGGTGCAGGTGGGGTGGCTGCCCGTTAATGTGAGTTGGGTAACACATCTCAGAGAGAATCCTGCCCTGGAGGGATGTCACTTTGAGCCACCTAACAAGTGTTCAAAACCAGTTTCAGGTGTTCATATGCAGACAATCCAGGGGTTAAGGGCTCCAGAAGCTGCCCCAAATTACCATGTAACAAGGCCCTAATTCCAGTGGGTGCCCCCTAGGTTTCGTATCTGGGATTTGGTGAACAGCAGTTCCCTGTTCACTTGGCCCACACCCTTCATGATTGCACATAGACCTGTCATATCCCCCTTCAGCCTTCTTTCCATACGGAAGAGTCCAAGCTTTAGTCTCTCCTGGCCTATATGGCAGCTGCTCCAGGCGTCTGATCATTTTGGGTGCCCATCTCTGTACTTCTGTAATTCAATGACATCCTTTTTGAGATGTAGGGAGCAGAACAGCACACAGCATTTGTGATCTGATACTGCCCACACTATTCAGGATTTAAAAAATTGAGAACAGAGGGCTCTTCAATCCAACTGACAAAGGCAGAACAAGAAGTCTGTGTCTTAGTGCATTGCCTCTGCTGCAGCCCTGGTTAACCATAGGTTTGAGGAAGAATGTTGCATTTGAAAGCTTGTCTAATGCTTTTGAATGTAATGTTGTTGGTCCATAAGAGATATCACTCTAAGAAATTCTTTCACATTTTAAACCCTCTCTCCACACAAATCGTTGCAGTTATTCTTTCACTAATGTTTTAAGGCTTCCAGCTTCAAGAAACCATCAGCAGGGACAATTTACCAGAGGAAGAAGGCAGCCCCCAAGCTGATACTCACTGAAGAACAGAAACAACAGTTCCGAGAAGCCTTTGATTTGCTGGATACCGATGGCACTGGCACGATCGATGTTAAAGACTTGAAGGCAAGGTCTTTACCAAGAAATCACAAGTAAACTGGTCATCAGGGAAGGGCCTAGATCATCAGAGAGCATGATATGTCTGTACCGTAGTGTTTAAGGCTAAATAACTGTTTCAAGCCACTCTGAAGTTAAGGGTTTCTCTCAGTTCCATTCTCCTTGCACTTAGGCCTGCTCACCTGCTCACTAAGTCTCCTTATGGTTGCCTCTCCTGTTCCCACATGGCTCTTGAAGGCAGTAGCATAACAAGGGGTAGGCAAGCTGGGTACAAGCCTGAGGCACTCATTTATATGGGCACCAGAAGGGTAGCTCTCCAGGGAATCTCTGGTGCTGTAGCAGCAGCCCCAACCAGGGTGGGCCAGATTACTCTGCAGCAGAAGCAGCTTTGAGTCCCTGGGGCAGGTAAGAGTAACTACCCCATTTCCCTGCTGTCTGGCACTTGGCACTGCTTGATGGCATAAAGGACCAAGCTTAGTCAGAAACATGGATCTGGGGACTTCATCAGCTCCTTGGATTTGAGGTAGAATCTATGGACTCTCACAGTGCCATCATGCAAGCAGTCTTATTTCCCGTCCCAGCTAAGGATCTTTTCTGCTGTGCCCTATTTCTTGCATAAAGTTAATATATATCATTGATGCTCAACCTTTTGGCCTCTCAGGTCAAATGAATTGTGAAGGGCCGGTCTGTGGGCCAGATTGGAGTGGAGCCCATGTCACAGGATCAGGCCTGCGTGCCTGGATCCAGACTGCACTACCCCCACCTGGCCCTGCATGCTGGGATTGGGGCCCCAGGAACCTGCACCACTTCTTCCTAGCCCCCTATGTGGGAATTGGGGCCCCAGACTGTGTGCTGCCTCTTCCCAGCCCCACATGCAGGGATCGGGGTCTTGAGATCCTGTGCTGCCTCTGCTGATCTCCATGTGCCACGATTGGAGCCCCGGGGCACTCTGCCACCTGGCCCAGCGTGCCGTGTTCAGGTTCCCAGGATCTTGTGCTGCCTCCACCTGGCCCTGCATGCAGGGATTGAGCTCTGGGACCCTGAGCCAGCTGCTTCCAGTCCCTCTGCCATGTTCAGGGCCCTGGGTTCCCATGCCAGCTCCACCTCAGATTGGGCTCTATGGGCAGTGCCACCTCCACTGCACACTGGGATTAGGCCATGTACTGCCCTGCACATGGGATTTAGTGCACAGGGCCACAAATCCATGAGAAGCCCTGTGGGCTGGATGGCAAGGCACTGGAGCTGAATCAGGACCACAGGTCAGTGGTTGAACACCCCATATCTATATAGTAGGAATTTAATTCAGAGGTTCTGAGAAGTCAGGTGCAGCTGTATTCATTTTCTCTGCCTATGTATATAGCCCATACTGATGAAAAAAAAAAGCTATCATAGCTTTTATGATTCTCAGGCTATTCCTTAGCCTAGTTCATAGATTCCTGAATTATAAGGCCAGGAAGGACGATTGTGAACCTTGAGTTTGACTTCCTGCCTAACACAAGCCGTAAGACTTCTTTTAATTAATTCCTGTTTGACTGACACTAGTGGGCATGTCTACACATTCATTAATGCACTTTGGGTAACGAGCATTAAACCTAGTACCTCTGGGTGCCTATATGTGAGCTCAGAGGCTGCTCTGATGTGCTGAATTCCAGTGCATCAGAGCAGACTTGATTACTCAAGTCTGCTGGAGTGTGGCAATTGCTACGCTCCAGCAGCCTCCTGCATCTCATGTATCAGCATCCTTGCACTTAAAAATGGTGGTGGGGGTGCTTGAACTAACGCTCAACAAATGAGTTTTCATTTAAACATCCCCACCACCATTTTTAAGCATGGGGCTGCTGATACAGGAGACATGGCAGCACTTTAATTAGAGAGGCTCTTGGAGCCCCTCTAATTAAAGTGCCACCCACACCCCTCTCCATCTAGAGCACATGTAAAAGTTCCCTCCATTCTGAAATACTAGAGAAAGGTGCATTCGTCTATTTTAATGGACATTAGCTAAAGAGCATTTTTGTGACCCTTTAATGATCATTAAAATAGGCTAATCCACATTAAAGCACATGTGTAGATGTGCCCAGTGTATCCTTTAGGAAAATACCTTACCTTGATTTGGCATTTCCAGTGGTAGCAAATCCATCAAAACCCTTGCTAAATGTTTCAGTAATTAATTACCCTCATTGTTAAAAAAATTGCACCTTATTTCAAATTTGAATTTGTCTAGCTTGAATTTGCAGACATCAGGTTGTGTTCTATCTTTGTCAGATTTAAGAGCCCCCCTATTATCAGATTTGTTCCCAATATAGTGACTTATAGACTGTAATCAAGTTGTCCCTTCACCTCCTTTTGATAAGCAGGGCAGATTGAGCTCCTTGAATCTTCCCCTTTGCAACATGGTTTCTGATCCTTTATTAACACTTATGATCAGGTGTGCAGAGACCAGGATGTATACTTTCTGGTGATCATTTACTTCATAAGCAATGTAATGAAAAGAGGAAAACAAGGTACCTCCAGCACAGTAAAGCATTGCTCTATCAGTTTACTGGCTCTTTGACATGCTGTTTGTCTGCTATTATCATCATTGTCATCATTAGCAGCAGCAGCTATAATATAAATAATAATGATAATAAGAACAACAAAAAACAACAAAGACAATAACAGCAACAACAATAATACCATGTCACTGCAAGGCTCCAGATATGCCTTAGGGTATAACTGTCCCTTTCACCTCCCTTTGCTTTTATTCATATTGCCCACTGAGATGCCACCCTATTTTTATCCATCATTGCAGGTGTCCATAAGAGCTCTGGGCTATGAACCCAAGAAAGATGAGATGAAGAAAATCATATCAGAAGTTGATAAAGAAGGGTCTGGGAAGATCAACTTTGATTTATTTTTGCATGCAATGACTCAGAAAATGGTATGTAAATCAGGTTAATCAGCAGGGGTCTAATCACCCTTTAAAAACTCTCATTTCCTTGCATCTTTAGTGGCAGTTAATGGCACTTAGAATCCAACAGGAAAGAGTTCAGCAGTTTCCTTTCAAAATACTATCCAGAATGAAATACTAAAAGAGAGAGAGACACAGAGACAGAGACAGAGAGAGAATGAGAGGGAAGGAAATGGAGGGAAGCTCATTTGACAGTTGACATGTCTCTTCCTTTTTACAAAGTTTTTATTATTGTACAGTAAGTTGTCTAACTATTTAGGCAGTAATTAACATATATAGTCTTATAGTGAATAAACAAGAGAAAAATAATATCCAAAGGAAAACTGTTTTGGAAGAGCCATTAAAACCATCAGTACCATCTTTGGCTCTGCCTTACCCCTTAGAGTAGGGATCAGTACTTATGGTGCCCAGAAACACTGGATCTGGTTTGAAGAGCCAGGGCGCTTTGAAAGCAGGGAGCTCTGGTGGC